AATCCTCACCCAAGGATATTTTTCCATTGATTTTCAGAGAGAGAGGGAAAGACAGAGAGAAATATCGACGTGAGAGAAACACATAGACTGGTTGCCTCCTGCACATGCCCCCACGAGGGCCTGGGCCAGGGAGAAGCCTTCAACCAAGGTATCTGCCCTTGACCAGAGTTGAACCTGGAACCCTTAGGTCCACAGACCGACACTTTATCCACTGAGCCAAACAGTGGCTAAGACAAATGGCAGTTTTCATCATTAAATTCTTTTCATCTGTGAGATTTGTACTCTATAAGAAAAAGCTAATGATGATTAAGTAAAATCAAAGACATCTTTTAAAAGCCTATATGTTTTCAAGGACGCGTACCTCGATTGCAGGCTCAATCCCCATCCCTAGTCAGGGAATGTGTGGGAGGTGACCAATCAATACCAGTCAAAGTGTCTCTCTCACATCGATGTTTCTCTCTGTGTCCCTCCCCCTCCCTTCCACACTCTCTAAAAGTCAATGGGAAAATACCCTCAGGTGAGGATTAACAAAAATAAAAAAATACATAAAAGCCTGTATGTTTTTGTTATGCTTCACAAGTAAAAGATCAGTCAAAAACATAAAGGTACCCTGGTTTGAACTCCCTTTGTTCTTGGATTAGAGTGTTTCTCTTGGAACACTCTCACATCAGGCTTCTGCTACTCTTGGCAAAATCATGAATTGGCTGATGTTGTCTTAGGGGTTTTCCCACATCCCCTTCCCCAACTCTTCTTCCCTGGCTCCCTTTTCATTACCTAGGAACTCCTCATGCTGCCTTCTGCATTCTGCCGACTGCTCAGTAACATTTCAGACTCTTTATAATCCTCCCTTCTAACACTACAAAATGTTTTTCTTAAGATTTACTTGCTTGCTAGGTGGGTGACTAACCTGTTAATCTTTACTAAAATGTTGAATTAGTCTTCATTTTCTTTAAGATTTTTTTTTAAGAAAAAAAACAAAACCACAAAAAACAGATTCCTAGAGATGCTATCAACACCAGAGCCCAAAATATTATAGGTATTTTGGTGAATATAACAGGTGAGTATATATTTGAGTATAATTGGACCTTTTAGAAAAATGAAGTCCATTGGGTAGCTCTACTTGGCCTAGGGACTTGATATAGAAAAGCTGCTCTCCCTGAAACTACCCTCAAAGATAGGACTGTAACCCCAAACATCCAATGAGTATCTAATCGACTTCCCACTGCACTTAAAATAAAACCTACTTTTGTTTAGAGTCCAAAAGATCTAGCCTCTCCCAACCTGGCTCTACCTCACATACTACAATTCTGCCAAACAGACCTTTCACCTACACTTGAACAGGCCAAGCTGCAACCTCATTCCTACCTTAAAGCCTGTAGTGCTATGTTCTCATTTTTGGCATACAAATTGCACGTCATCATTTGGTTCCCAGTTTAAACGTCACCTCTTCAGACAATCTAAAGTGAGCTCACAATCACTTTCTTGAAAAACATTTTATTTTATTCATGGTATTAATCGCTGTGTATTTTCTTATTCATGTATTTGTTTACCTGCTCATCCTAGCCTCCCTCCTACTACACTCTTCATTGTCTACTATGTTCATCATTGCATTCTGCGTTTTGCACAGAAGCTGGTACATATTCAGTGCTCAATAAATAAGTACTAAATGAATGCACAAATAGATGACCCAGGCATAACTTAACTTTTAAACTTAAGTAATTGAGTAAAAAGTCCTTGTAGTAATATTGGAAAAGTGGGGAGTGTTAATATCATTATGACTAACATAACTAACATTTTTATAAGACTTTTATTGACCATGGACTACAGCATTCTTCATGAAAACATTATAAATATTGGCTTGATAAATATTCCCTTTGCCTTTTTGCAAAGCTGTCCTTGGATGAGGTTATCACAAATAAATGCTGGTCTCCTTTGAGAAATATGGCCAACTCACTGTATTCTTCTGTTGATGTTAATAAACTGCATTTCCTTTTTGCCAGTTTCTAGCTGTTCTAGACATGTAATCTCTATTGCTAAGACTTCAGAAGCCAATGAACAACTTGCCTGTCACATGTTCCAATGAATAATCTCTCTCCACATGCAGTGTAGCTAAGCAGAGAAGCAGATTTCAAAAATGATAACCAACACAGCATGGAATGTATTGCTAAACCTATAGTTTATTATCCAGCAGAGTTCACCCCGGTATTCCGCCAAAAAAAAAAAAAAAAAAAAAAAACCTAAAAATTTTTTAGCATTTGGGTTTCTACCAGGCAGTCCCAGTTTAGTGGTTGTAGCTTAGAAGCAGATGTCTGAGAGCAGTTCAGCAAGCCTGCAGGCAGGTGCTTTTGTAGAGCTCTCCTCTTAAGAGGCAAAATTGAGCCCTAACCGGTTTGGCTCAGTGGATAGAGCGTCAGCCTGCGGACTCAAGGGTCCCAGGTTCGAGTCCGGTCAAGGGCATGTACCTTGGTTGCGGGCACATCCCCAGTAGGGAGTGTGCAGGAGGCAGCTGATTGATGTTTCTCTCTCATCAATGTTTCTAACTTTCTATCCCTCTCCCTTCCTCTCTGTAAAAAAATCAAAAAATATATTTTTTAAAAAAGAGGCAAAATTGAGGCAAGTCAATGGATTACAGCTTCCTGAGGTTGCTTTTGTTAACTATAAAATATCACAATTAATCCTGCTTTGCTAAATTGAAACCCCAAGGATTAAAAAAAGTATCATTCCTTCTAAGAAAATATTAAATAAACTGGTAACAAAAAAAGAAACTTAACATCGGTCAAGAGAGAGATAAACACAAGTCAATAAGAGCTCAATAACTATCTCTTTAAGAAAAACACATAGCATGAGTAAACATTATTTTTAAAGAACTGAATAAAATTTCTTGAGACTGAGACTGCCCTAGGAAAGCTTGATCATTAATTCTTCAAAAGGAACAATGAACACTTAAATAACAGAACTCTGCTAACTACCATTCTTCAATTATTTCACTATCAAATTTAAGAAAATACACACAATCTTAGCATACAAAACACAAAAAGTTCTTGGTGTTTTTTTTGGGGGGGGGGGGGGAACAAGGGTATCTTTAAATCAAACCTCATTCTAGAGAGAGTTCACTTCTCATTAATTTGGTCTCATTCATATATTTTTGTGTTTCTATCAATATTAATTTCAAGGGTGAGGTTGTCTCTAGCCAGCATGTACTGCAAAACTCTAACATTTTTTTCCACTCTTCACGGACCATTTACAATCTGCAAGGTTTGGGGTGGGTATGAAATGCATTCCTGCCAATGGCTAGCCACATCAGCAGTGCTGAAAACCAATCCTTCTGTTTCCTTCATGGTGCCATATGGTTCCATAAAAAGCGAGTGAACCAAAAGTGCAGCTAATGCACCTTGTCAATCTGGGTTCAGACTAATTCTTTCATATTACGGTAAGGAAACTGTTGATGACTGCATTCTCATTCTTTAGTCATCCACTGCTATAAACGTGTGCTAACTCATTAGGAGAGGGGGAAATCAGTCTGTTAAGGCCTCTTCTATTTTACAGGAGCTGTAATGTTTTTAAAGAAATGCACTGCAATAAAATTATTACACATATATTATTGTTTCAAGCAGAACATCCCCGGTGTTTTGTAGTAACACGTTCCAAAAGATTCAGGGTCGTGGCTTTAAACCCTTTCCAATAAGTGATTTGAGCACTCCGGTGGAATTAAAAAGCAAGCTGCAGCACCAAGATAAACTTGTGTCCCCCTAGTGACCTCTAGAGTGGAGCTAAGCTCCCACAGGCAAGACTTGGGGGAGAAGAGCGAGAAGCATGCCTAAGCCGAGCATGCTGCTGTGGATCAAGCCGATGTATTTAATAATACACCCTCCCATCTCCGAGTCCTGGTCCTGATTTTATCTAACCCCGCCGCGCAGTACGTCTCGCCTCCTGGGCCATTAGCCCCATTGGGTCAAACTCTAACTTCAAACGCCTCGGCTTCCTCCTCCCCACAGGGTCCAGGTCCAGTTTCCCCAGCACAGGCTTCCCCGCCCGGCATGGCGCGGAGCTGCCTGCTCTCTCCGCAGTGCTGCGGGCACCTCCTGGGCACTGCCGGTTCCCAGCGGGAGCTCGGGAGCCGGGCGAGAGATAACCTCTGCCAGCGCCCCTGCTCCCACACGCACACGCACGGTGCTTTGCGATGCCACCCAGGAGGCTCCCTCCCAAGTTCAGCCTGGATCACGCCAAGATGCCTCAAGTCACCCCAGCAACAAGGTCTTCCTTGCCCTCCCAGCTGTCGCTTCTCCCCCTGAACTTTCCAACTTCGGAAGCCCTGGTTCCGAAGGAGCAACAGGGGGATTGCTCAGCTGGAGTCACTGCCGCCTAGGCAGTCGGATACAGGGAAATAGCCTGCGATGACCGGCTGGCAGCAAGTCCCCTTGACCACGGAGGAAAAGGAGAGCCAGACAACTCCTATCTCCTCCTGAGAATGGAGGTTGGGAAAATGGATGCAGAACTAGTTACCCTAGAGGAGGGGGAGGTTGGGAGGAGGGAATAGAAGAGACCACAGAAAAACTCTCTCTCTCTCTCTCTCTCTCTCTCTCTCTCTCACACACACACACACACACACACACACACACACACACACACACACGGCCTCATTCCTTTTTGGATGAGACTCTAGGAGCCCAGAGTCGCTTCTCTTCCCACTACCTTGACTACCCTGAGAGAGGAGGAGGGTGCAACAGATACCCAAGCTCATGGGGTAGAAAAGGGGTGGGGTGACAGAGAGTCTCCAGCTCTTCCCAGGTCACAAAAAGAGGACAAACTCCTTCAGAGTGTCCCCAGAGGCAAAGGGGGTGCAGCAGCGCTGGGGGCCCCCACCTCTCAGAGAAGGCAAACTCTTCCCCGGCAGGCAGCCTCCCACTTGGTAGAGTCTGGATGGAAACAGGCAGGCCAGAGGGGAGGACCTCAGGCGGGAGGTGGGATGGGACGCGAGGTGGGAATAGAGCGGAACTCACCCTTGATGCTGGGGGGCTTTCTCCTCTGGGCCATCTTCTGCCCTCTCTCCTCCCCCAGACCCTACAGGCGCTTCCTGCGGCTGCAGCCCAGCTCCTGGAAACGGTGCCGAGCCTTCCAGGCGAGCTCTCGCCGCCAAGGCTCTCAGCTCAGCGAGCTCTTTGTTGCTGTGATGGCATCTACGAGGCAGCAGCGGTGGCGGCCTGGCTGCGCGCTCGGCTCCGCTGGGCTCGGGCAAGCGCCGGCGTCCCTGGGCTCTGGGCTGCGCTGCGCTTCCAGCCTCACTCTCACGCTGCTGTGGCCACCGTGGCTGCGGCTGTTGACGCTGCTGTGCTGCTCCTGCTGCTGGAGGGGGCAGCGCAGGGTCCCCAGAGCGCCCGCCAGAGCTGACCTCCCCCTTACCCACACTTCCCTCCCCCACTCCTCCACCCCCGGGGTCCCGTCTGAGCTCCAGCTCCAATCCAACCCGTGATAGCACCCGTCACTGTTGCTGGGGAAGGCGACAGCGAGAAACCAAAAGGGAAGAGGGACAAGGCCAACTGAAGGCTGGTGGAGAGAAGAGAAATTAAATCCTAGAGGCAACCCACCACCAGACCCTTTGGAAGGATGACCTAGTTCCGGCCCTAAACTTCTTTATAGTGAGGACGCAGGACAGTTCCCTTGGAGCTGTGGGAAAAGAGAACAGAAAGTTCACGCTCACATATGTTGGAGGGATTGGGAGAGGGGTAGCTTCTTGGCTTCCTGCAGAAACTGTTCCACTGGCTGTATTCTTTCTCACTCAGATTGGGGGTTTGGAAAGTTTTTATTTTCCTGGAGGAGCTGTCCTCCTCTGGAGTGCTGATCAGAGAAGGAATCTCACCAATGTTCCAGAACTGCAAGGGCGTGCAAAAGTTTAAGACACGTCTGAGAATGTAAAGGTGGTAACTCAGGCATTAAAAGAATGGCAGAAGAAGTAGAGTGAAAAGGGGGTTCCAGTATGGGAGAAGGATGCAAAGTCTTTTTTCCTTAACAGAAGCTGAGGTTTCCCCAAAATTCACTTCCTTAATTCCCAGTGATCTTAAGACTTCTCCTTTCCCCTCTTACATTCCCAACCCAATCTGATTATCTAAATAAGTACCCAGGGATTCAATTGAGTATCATTAGCTAAAAGTTGCCCCAGCATCAATGTGGTGCAGGAGAAAAAGCACTGGACTCCATACCCCTGCAACTTCATAGCTTTGAAAATTTGCACAAGGTATTTAAGTCCTCTATTCTTCTGTTTTCTGGTTTGTAGAATATCATCTCAAAGATTTCTTCCAACTCTAATAAGTTTCCTAAGAATTTTTAGTCACAAAAATCATCACGTTTATTTTTGCACTCTTCCTAAATTTAATTTTATACATGTATTAAAGTAATCTGAAGAACATGTGAAATACTCAGTCCCTGTCACAACAAAGGTGTACAACAAAGGTGTAAAACACAAATTAAAAACTTTATTTTAATTAGCAAAATAGGCCCAGTCTCAGACTTATGACCAAAAATGGACTCAGTCGAAATTTTCCTCCTCTGATTTAATTCAAAACTACTTTGTCATCTCTTAAAACTCTTAAGGTGTATAAATGTTAAGCATGTAACTATGATTAGTCTGTGTATTCATAATTTATCACTAATATGATTTATTGCCTAAGTTAGAATAATGTCTTATAGTTTATTCATTACTTTCACACACTCTATTTCATTTAATACTGCCCACAAATCTATGAATTTAGAGGCAGGTCCTGCCTTCCATGCCTTATAGATGAAGGAATGGGGTTCATGGAGTGCAATGACTTGTGCACAGTTCCCAGGACTTCTGTGCAGCTCTTCTAACTCAGTATCAGGCTCTTCCTATGATACCAGCTGCCTATTACTAAATAGAATAATTCTGCTTCAGAACAGGGACCATTTCCTTTTTTCTATTTATTTCTTCCATAGTGCCAATCCTATTCTCAGCAGAAGAAACTCAAAATTTTAGTTGACAAAGTATATCTAATTTTTGTATCTGGACATGATTGGCATTTTTTTTTACACTTGTAGCACTTCAAAATGTTTTTACCTGCATTTTCTCAATTGAAGGTCACAACACTCCCAGGAGATCACCAAAAGAGGTTTATTCAGCCCAATGTGACCCAGAGACATTGCGGTCACAACTACTCAGGCCCTGGGTGTCCAGGCCAACTGTTTCCTGAGTAGGCCACCGTGCATGCTTTTGTCTAAGGGTTACAAACAGAGTGCCCGTAGGGATCAGTATAAATATGTAGGCTGTACTTGAATGAGGGGTAGGGACTGCAGGTTGCTGAGAACACATGCACTACTACACAGACACAGGATGTCTTATAGGAAAGGCATCCTAGGATATAAGGATTCTGATATTTTCAAAAGGAGTCAGGAATATACATTTGCAGGTAAATTATCCATTTTGATGTTGGCTAACACATAAAACAAAGCAAAACAAGGCAGGCCTAACAGAACACATCTGCCAGTAATATAGGGTGGGGCAAATCGGTTTATAATTATATGTGAAACAGTTTATTCTTGTATTATGATTAATTATTGTATTATTTTCCATATGAACAACTGTAAACTTTCTTTTGCCCCACCCTGTATACAGTCCATAGGCTGTGTGTCTGTATGTCTGTTTTTACATTTCATCAATTGAGAACAGAGACTGATGGAATCCCTTGGGTATAGTTGATTCTGATGGTGTCCACATGCTCTTAAAATTAGCAATGATCACGTTTTGGGGTCCACCTAATCATGATTTCTAAAGATAGATTACAGACATTGGTGTTTCTAAATCTGTGGCCATTCTTAGAACCATCAGTGAAAATGACTATAGTAAATACAATAATTTTTAAGTCACATGTGATTCTGCTGGGCATGAGGAAACTTACACATTTGATGAGGAGGGTGATGATGATGATAAGGACAAAATTGGACTAATCTATTTTCCTTATAGAAAGGTTCTGATGAATCCTTTTAGAAAAAGTAGCCACCACGCTAAAATGGTACACGTATCGTGTAATCATTCTTTCTAGATTATTCTAGCCCTGTCAAGACTACCTCTAGAGTAAAAAAGATAATCAGACTGGAGAAAAGTAATACATGTTCCTTCTTGGAAGTATCAAGTGAGCTCAACAGGGAAAATGAACTTTTCATACAAATTATACTAAAAACCAAAATTAAAATATAATTTATAATACACAAAGTGTGATTGTCATTAATTAGAGTTATTGTACTTTCAGTAAAAAGGTTTAAAAATATAACCCTCAGAAGAGTATTTCTGGCTGAAATATTTAACATTGAATGTCTATCCATAAATAAATTAATGTAGTTTAGGGAAAATGAAAAACAAAAGCCCCACTGATTTTAATCAGGTTAATACCAAAAGATGTCAAAAGAATCCAAACTTGGCCCACTATTGAAAAAACACCAGCTTTTAAATTTTACATACAAAAAATCATAACACTCCCTTCATCTGAGGTTTTAAGGGAACCTACAATATGTGACTAGAGCTCAAGAAAGGTAAAAGGAGAAAGGATAGTGGGAAGAGAGTGGTATAGTCCAACTAGTGCATTAAAAAAAAAATTCCTGCAGCACTTACCTACTCAGATCAACGTGTGAAGGAGTGAGGAAACTGAGGCTGCCTTTCCACCCTATCCCACACACCAGAATGGATGCACGAGACCTTGGATATGACTTCTTCCCTTTCTCTATGATAACCAGGCCGACACAGGTATTCATTATAATAAAATTTCACCTGAATTTAAATGGATAGTCCTGGAGTGAGAGCTTACAGAATCTTTTTCTTTTCACCCCATTTTAATTCTCCCATTGATGACCCTGACCTCAAGAAACGTAATTTCACTTATGCATATTCAAATTGCACAGAGAGACATGAAATTCAGAGCACCATTTAGGGGCTTAAATGTAAATTCTAGGTTTCTTAGAAAAAAACCTTCACAAAAAGATCTCTTAATATCTACTGCTTTCAGAGCAAACATCTCAGAGGTGCCTTCACCACAACACTACATCTAGAAATATTAGCAATTGAAATATCATGCTGAATCTGCACAGAAGCAAATTTTATTTAATTTTGCTAAGTTCAATTTGCCAACTGTCACCTCTAAAACTATGCTCCTCTTAAAAAAAAGAGCAAATTAACATGGAGCTCTTTAGCAACTACAATAAAGTATATGCTTATTATAGTTCAACCCCACAGAAACCAAAGAGAAACAAAAGGAAGCATTTGGGAGGAACAAGAAACCCTAAAGCTGGGTCTTTACTCAAATTACTTAGAAATTCCCCTGAGGGAAGTGGTACAGACCTAGCCTGAGTAAGGCAGACTATGGATGGAAGGCTAGTCAGTATACAGATAGCCTGCTATGTTTAATCCATAGCTAAACTCTAAATATTTTCTGGAATGTATGTATTACTTTATTTGATACTCCACTTGGCCTGCCAGAGGACAGAATGTTTGATATGGCCTCTGCTAGCTTCCAATTAATCAGTTTATCTCAAAAATGTTCTCAAGCTGCCTGCAGCAACCTTCTCCATTATAATTCCTGTTTTCTAGCGTTGTTCCCTTACCCAGTCTACCAGTCTACCAACCAATTACTTCATATGTGAGTGAGAAATTTGCAAATTAATGGCACAAAAAATAAATGTTTCTAAGATATTTTTGACAATGGACCAAATTGTATTTTCCATTCTTCTTGATGTTCCAAAATTTTCCCCAAAACTATCAATTCACTGAGTTGCACTTTGAGTAAAGGATAATGCCTTATCTCTTGCTCATTTGTATCATACACACACATCCCTTAACTCTTTCCCTAGCACTTTCTACTTTTCATACAGTGGGACTTCTCTTGGATCCTTTCCTTCATTCTTTCTCCATTATGGCTCATTACAAAACTATTTTCAAATAACTAAACTTTCCTCTTAGTTTTCAAAAGGATGATTTCAAAATTTAGATGCCTCTTTTCCCTTTTAAAAAGCCTGGATTTTGAGACAATTGTCTCACAGGGGACTCCAAAAAGTCAACTTTGAGATTCAAAACTAAACAATGATCCCTTCTCTCTAGGTGGATTAAGCCTTCCCAGAAGCAATATATGCCAACTAGAGGCCCGGTGCACAAAAATTTGTGCACCCGAGGGGGGTCCCTCAGCCCAGCCTGTGCTCTCTCACAGTCTGGGACCCCTCGGGGGATGTCCACCTGCTGGCTTAGGCCCGCTCCCTGGGGGAACAGGCCTAAGCTGGCAGTCAGACATCCCTCTGGCAGCCCAGGAGCCCTCAGGGGATGTCCACTTGTCAGCGGGGACCAGGCCTAAGCTGCAGTCGGACATTCTTAGCGCTGCTGAGGAGGCAGGAGAG